TACCAATCCCACAGTAATTATACTAGTTGGGATTGGAATCTTAACGAAATGCATGTTTTATTTATTGGCATCTGGATGACTGTATCAGACTATACTACCAATCCCACAGTAATTATACTAGTTGGGATTGGAATCTTAACGAAATGCATGTTTTATTTATTGGTATCTGTATGACTGTATCAGACAATAATACCAATCCCACAGTAATTATACTAGTTGGGATTGGAATCTTAACGAAATGCATGTTTTATTTATTGGTATGTGGATGACTGTATCAGACTATAATACCAATCGCACAGTAATTATACTAGTTGGGATTGGAATCTTAACGAAATGCATGTTTTATTTATTTGTATCTGGATGACTGTATCAGATTATAATACCAATCCCACAGTAATTATACTAGTTGGGATTGGAATCTTAACGAAATGCATGTTATATTTATTGGTATCTGTATGACTGTATCTGACTATATTACCAATCCCACAGTAATTATACTAGTTGGATTGGAATCTTAACGAAATGCATGCTTTATTCATTGATATCTGAATGACTGTATCAGACTATATTACCAATCCCACAGTAATTATACTAGTTGGGATTGGAATCTTGACGAAATGCATGTTTTATTTATTGGTATCTGTATGACTGTATCTGACTATATTACCAATCCCACAGTAATTATACTAGTTGGGATTGGAATCTTGACGAAATGCATGTTTTATTTATTGGTATCTGGATGACTATATCAGACTATAATACCAATCCCACAGTAATTATACTAGTTGAGATTGGAATCTTAACGAAATGCATGTTTTGTTTATTGGTATCTGGATGACTGTATCAGACTATAATACCAATCCCACAGTAATTATACTAGTTGGGATTGGAATCTTAACGAAATGCATGTTATATTTATTGGTATCTGTATGACTGTATCTGACTATATTACCAATCCCACAGTAATTATACTAGTTGGGTTGGAATCTTAACGAAATGCATGCTTTATTCATTGATATCTGAATGACTGTATCAGACTATATTACCAATCCCACAGTAATTATACTAGTTGGGATTGGAATCTTGACGAAATGCATGTTTTATTTATTGGTATCTGGATGACTATATCAGACTATAATACCAATCCCACAGTAATTATACTAGTTGAGATTGGAATCTTAACGAAATGCATGTTTTATTTATTGGTATCTGAATGACTGTATCAGACTATAATACCAATCCCACAGTAATTATACTAGTTGGGATTGGAATTTGAGCGAAATGCATGTTTTATTTATTGATATCTGGATGACTGTGTCAGACTACTACCAATCCCACAGTAATTACAGTATACTAGTTGGTATTGGAATCTTGACGAAGTGCATGTTTTAATTTTTTGTATCTGGATGACTGTATCAGACTATAATGCCAATCCCACAGTAACAGTATACCAGTTGGGACTGGAAATTTTCCCGAAATGCATGTTTTAATTTTTTTGTAAATGGATGACTGTGTCAGACTATAATACCAATCCCACAGTAATTATACTAGTTGGGATTGGAATCTTGCCGAAATGCATGTTTTATTTATTGGTATCTGGATGACTGTAACTGACTATAATACCAATCCCACAGTAATTATACTAGTTGGGATTGGAATCTTGACGAAATGCATGTTTTATTTATTGGTATCTGGATGACTGTATCACACTATAATACCAATCCCACAGTAATTATACTAGTTGAGATTGGAATCTTAACGAAATGCATGTTTTTTTTATTGGTATCTGGATGACTGTAACTGACTATAATACCAATCCCACAGTAATTATACTAGTTGGGATTGGAATATTGACGACATGCATGTTTTATTTATTGGTATCTGGATGACTGTATCAGACTATAATACCAATCC